TGTGTGCTGGGAATCAAACCTGGGTCCTCTGGAAGAAGAGCAAGCACTCATAACCACTGAGCTGTCTTTTCAGCCCCTGTGAGGAATTTAATGTTTACAATGTTCATTGTCTTAACTGGAAATAAAAGTTAAATCATTACAAACCTCCAGACAAATGTTAAAGTTACTTGTCTTAACCTGAACTTAATGGACAGCTGCTGCAAAATTCTAGTCAAAATATGCATGTGCACATGTAAACACACACACACACACACACACACACACATTCACATGTGAATATGGCAAAACAGTTGGTCAAACCTAGAAAATTGTCTTAGAACGAAAATGAAACCCAACTGACATGAAAAGTTATAAGGCAAATTAAGCTTATTGTTTAGGGATGAAACTCTAGGAAAGGGGAGTCCTCACATTTCTTCTTTATACAGTATGTTGACACAACATCAACTAATTACTTATAGGTTTTCCCAGCTCACAAAACATTTGTATGTGTTTTACTCCATCTGGAGCCTACAGTGTTTCTATTAGCTTCAGGAGAAAACAAAGATCACTTAGCTACAAGGCAGAGCTGGGACTTCTCCCAGTAGGGTCCTCCATCCAGCTTGCTTCAGGACACAGTGTTCTCCCTACCTGCCTGTCTGTAATACTGGACAGAGGGCCTATGGGTAAACAGGACACATTCGAGATGTGATACCATGGAGCAGAAGGAGGATACAGTCAGAACTCAGACCTTTGTATGTGCTTGTACGTGATTAGTCACTATAGAGAAACTGAGTTTTTTAATGGGATTACTTTAAATGTCTTGACAATTACAAAGGAAATTAAGTATATACTGTTAGACTTCTGTCCTTTGTCTATAGTGACCTAAATAAAGGACAAACTGTGGTTCCTGACAATTATTTCATTAGGAAACAAACATTAAAGTAGGCAAGCCCTGGGAGATGTTTCAAATCTGATGTGTTTTAATGAAAAGATAATTTGGTTTTCCTTACTGCTCTGTCTTGATGAGATTCTTATGCACATCTGTAATGATGAAGGTGGTAGGAAGAGCTCAGGTTAGGAACTGTTGCTGACCAGAACTGAAGAATTAAGTTCATTAATTTAAGGGACCTTTTGCTCCTCATCCCAAGTCAAAAGGGCAGAAGAAATGGCTCCTTTTGCTTTCTTAGGAAAATGAAGAGGGAGTCAGGGCCAGGATCAGGAATTAGTGTCCTGTTGACTAGGTAAGACATGCCTGTTTTGTATTGAGGCAGAGCTGCTTCCTTGTACGGACTTAAGGCTCTTGTGCATGCACAGCAGTGTTTGTGTGAACCTTACCACACCTGCACATTAGGGGAGAGGTGCTAGCGAAGAATAACCAAGTCACTGGAGACCACGCACACAGTGGGGCTGAGAGTTTAGAGCATTCAGTTTCATTTACTCAGCAAAGCACGTCATCTCTCCCATTTGCAGAACTTAAAACTGTGCAGAATATTAGAGGGTGAGAACTGTGCTTCTGAAAATGAGAGGGATGTTTATGGAAGTCTCACAGAATAGGTTAGTCTACTTCTGTCTTCTGCAAAGGCTGTTCACAAAAGGAAACTGAAAATAACATGGCCCATCCTTGCAGCTTTTCTGAGGACTCTCAGTAATACAGTGATTATTGCCCTAAAAGGAAAGGAAGGAAAATTCCCATTGCTGGCTCCTTATCGATGGATCCAACTCCGCTGATGCACAACTTCTGTGGTGTTTTGGTTTCAAGTTTGTTTCTCAACAGGATGCAAAGCTATGAATGATAATATAGTTAATTTCACCATTAATAATGTAACTTATGACTAAATACTAGGAAATGTAGAAGGTATTGCTTGTCAGCCTGGAAGCACACACACAATGGCTCTGATGTTTTTATTTGGGTAAATAAATAAATCAACAAGTCTTTGAGTCCTTTAATTTCTTTTAAGTCACAAGCACTTCTGAAGCATTTCCCAAATGAGTTTGTCACTTTATTCTCTTTCAACAAAGGAGATGGCTAATTGTGTTTTCCCGTGAAACTGAAAAACAAATTGAGCCTCCCTTCCCACCCCACTGTATTTAGACAGATCTTGATATAGGGAACTAGAAATTACTGTGATTTCCCCACTGACCCTTACATCCTCTTTTTCAAAAGTGTTTCCTACACCAGTTGTTTATTCCTAGACTAAACTCACTGCAATTAAGTTTACTAAACAAAAAGGAAGCTCTGTTTTGAGCTAAAAATTTATAAATTCTGTCAAATCTTATGACTGCAGGAAATAAAAAGGTGAAGCAGACTTCATTAAATGTCTTCCAGATTCAAGGCGCAAGACTACCCTGATCCTAAGTAGGATTGTGGCATCTAAGGAAACACAAGGAGGAGGCATAGAAGAGAATCACTTTTGTGCAACATATTCGGTTTTGAAATAGAACATAACCATGTTTGATAGCATTTCCGACAAAAATTCATGGATTGTTATTATAATTTTTAAAACTTAGGAATTTTTTTTAGCACATCTCTGGCTGAAATACTCTGAAGTGTATTTTAGTAAGAATCTTTGAAATTGTATTTTATTAGTGTCGAGTAATTAAAGCTGTTCATTGCTCCCTGTCCTCGTTTTATCACTGACCTCCCTGCTAAATTTATTCAGACAACTGAGAAGTGCCAAAAAAGATACTCTGGTATGATACTGCATTAGCGATTGGACCCTTCCAATCCAGTCCTAAGAAACAGATCCACAGCTGTCAGGCCTTATTACATTGCTACCTCTGTGGGAAAATAGACAAGATACAAAAGCCCCACCAGCTTTACATTTGAAACTATGACTTTAACACATTTCCTAGCATGAAGGTGAACAGACAGCTAGCTTCCTGGCTTCTAGAATGTTCTATTATCCTCTAGTGGCCTTTCTTATGGAGGATGTTCTTTGCAGGAGTGTCCTGGATGTCTCCCATGCAATTCCACACACAACTGTGAGTTCTAAAAGCATTTAGATACTTGAAAATGAAGTATGCAAAAACCAACATCAACAAAAAGCTTTAAAAAAAAAAACCTGCTGTTATTGTTAACACTTTAAAAAACTACTTTGAGCCCAAAACATCCAAACTCACATTGATGGATGATTTAGACCCTGGAGATCTGTTGTTTATCAAAACTATTCCTGATACAGTTCCCTGGGAAAATATTTCCTATTAACAATTTTTGGGGTCTTAGGTTATTTTAAAAACCCTCTATGGAATTTTTAGTTCCACATATAGTTCTTTTCACTTTGTCCTGAGCTACATCATCCCAATAATAAATGTCCAAAATCCCAGAGTTTGTAAGGAAACAAAAAGCATTCCCCACTTACTAGAGTCCCCCTACCCTGTGACAGACATGTAACTAAAACTAAAGCTTCTTCATGAGTTATTCTTATTTTACTTGCTTTTTGTTGATTAAAAAAAAGTTTGTGTTTTTTTGACAAAATTATACAAACATTACAAAATAGCAAGGACTTACTTGGGTTTGTTTTTTTTTTTTTTTTCCGAGTAATTTTTGGGATCATACCATAAACCGAAACGGAACAATCACTAAAATCCCACAGCAGGAAATCCACCCTGTGGGATTTCCTGCTGTGGATCATTATATTACATTTGCAAAAGTGACTGTCCTTTCGGGAACTTTCATACTGTATCAGCACACATTTTCCCTGGGGCACGGTGGAGAGGTGTACAAGTGTTTTTGTTGTTGTTGTTGTTTTGTTTTTGCCTACTGTTCTTCACAACTCTTTTCTAACTCATAAGGGTGAACGCATCGGTTTCCTTAAATCGGAGGCTGACAGCTCACTGACTATCAGGGGCCCTGGAACATGTGTTGCTGCCCAGTTGAGCTCAGAGGCAGTTTTTTCGGAGCGTCCTCGAGTCCACATCCACGATCGCTAAAATCCTGCTCCGGGTTTTGGCGCAGCCCGCGTGATTGACACATGATATCACCGGGGGCGGGTCCCAGCGTGGAGGTGGAGGTGGCGGCGACGCTGAAATGCTGCGGAGCCCGCGCGCGAGTGCTCAGCACGCAGGAGTTTGCGGCG